GATCCTCTTAGGAAAAACTCCAAGATTACATCCCTGTTATCTTTCCTCCAAATAGTTTCTAATAATAAGTTATTTGTTTAAAAATTATGTTTTAATTAGAATTTGATGGCTTTTTAAAAACTTTTACTGACACTCAACATGTTTGTTTTTATAGGAGCTGACTAAGACTTTGGAACAGAAACCAGATGATGTACAATATTATTGTCAAAGAGCTCATTGCTTGCCACATTATTCTTGGAAATTACTGTGCTAATTTTTCTTACAAAGTATATTGTCCCTTTTTAATAAGTTACTTATACATTTTACTCATGATAAATTAATGAAATAAAGGTTGTCTTTGAGGATTTTTTAATTGGCCTTTCATGTAAGGAAAAGTAGCTCAAAGTGTGACATACATGTTGAGCAACACCTATTTAAATTTTATGGATGTCTCTTTTTCCTTTATTTAATGGCACCAATTCCTACTACATTCACCCATGTATATTACCTATTTAAATTTTATGGATGTCTCTTTTTCCTTCAGTATATAGATTTCATTCATACTTATTGGGTAGGATGATAAAGAATAGTATCAGGCCGGGCGCGGTGGCTCAAGCCTGTAATCCCAGCACTTTGGGAGGCCGAGGCGGGTGGATCACGAGGTCAAGAGATCGAGACCATCCTGGTCAACATGGTGAAACCCCGTCTCTACTAAAAATACAAAAAATTAGCTGGGCATGGTGGCGCGTGCCTGTAGTCCCAGCTACTCAGGAGGCTGAGGCAGGAGAATTGCTTGAACCCAGGAGGCGGAGGTTGCGGTGAGCAGAGATCGCGCCATTGCACTCCAGCCTGGGTAACAAGAGCAAAACTCCGTCTCCCCCAAAAAAAAAAAAAAAAAGAAAGAGAATAGTATCATATTTACTATTTGACAGAGTATTAAAATGAAATGCTCTTTTTTGTATTTTTTTATTAAAAAAAATGTGGGCAGGCATGGTGGCTCACACATGTAATCCCAGCACTTTGGGAGGCCAAAGCAGGAGGATCACATGAGGTCAGGAGTTTGAGTTCAGCCTGGACAACATAGCAAGACCCTATTAGTCTATATTAAGAAATACTGTATTTCTGTATTGTGTCACTTTAAAAAATTATTATGATAAAGAATCTGGAGAGGGAAAAACTGAATTTTTTTTTTTTTTTTTTTTTTTTTTTTTTTTAGACAGAATTTTGCCTAGGCTGGAGTGCAGTGGCGCAATCTCAGCTCACTGCAGCTTCCGCCTCCCAGGTTCAAGCAATTCTCCTGCCTCAGCCTCCTGGTAGCTGGGACTATAGGCACGTGCCACCATGCCTGGCTAAATTTGTATTTTTAGCAGAGATGGGGATTCACCATATTGGCCAGGCTGGTCTCACACTCCTGACCATAGGTGATCCTCTCACCTCAGCCTCCCAAAGTACTAGGATTATAGGCATGAGCCACTGCACCCAATCACATTACATAGATGATGCTAATGAGAAAAAGAGATGAATTTTGTGACACAGCTTTATTCATTGCCTGAAGAGCTTTAAGAAGTAAGCTAAATGTTAAGCCAAAAGGAAGGTACAAGAGTAATATTTATTTGAATTCTGTCTTGGATTAGCTTTTCCTAATTTAAAACCATTTGGTGTTTCTAGCAACTCAAAAACTTAGAAATCTAAAACTGATTTGTATTCTGTGTGTATTCATTAGGATCTGTAAATAACTGACGAAAACCCATCTTTAATCCCAGCACTTTGAGAGGTCAAGTCGGGCAGATCACAAGGTCAGGAGATCAAGAACATCCTGGACAATATGGTGAAACCCCGTACCTACTAAAAAAATACAAAAATTAGCTGGGTGTGGTGGCACATGCCTGTAGTCCCACTTACTCAGGAGGCTGAGGCAGGAGAATCGCTTGAACCTGGGAGGTAGAGGTTGTAGTGAGCTGAGATTATGTCACTGCACTCCAGCCTGGCCACAGAACAGGACTCTGTCTCAAAAAAGAAAGAAATTACAAAGGAGTCTCAAATAAATTCAATTCAGGAGGCAAAATAAAGCCACTTTTCTTTAGTTGAAAGGTATGGAGAATTGGCTTGCTTAATCAGTATGTTTGTGCAATAGAAATCAGATAAATAAGGCTGGGCGCAGTGGCTCATGCCTGTCATCCCAGCACTTTGGGAGGCTGAGGCAGGAGGATCACCTGAAGTCAGGAGTTCGAGACCAGCCTGGCCAACTTGGTGAAACCCCGTCACTACTAAAAATACAAAATTAGCTGGGCATTGTGACGCATGCCGGTAATCCCAGCTACTCAGGAGGCTGAGGCAGGAGAATCACTTGAACCAAGGAGGTAGAGGTTGCAGTGAGCTGAGATCATGTCACTGCACTCCAGCCTGGGCAACAGAGGGAGACTCTGTCTCAAAAAAAAAAAAAAAAAAAAAAAAGAAATCATATAAATAACTTTGCCTATAAATGTACTGTTACCTGAAAACACTTTCTTTTTATGTTTTAATAGGCTCAGAATCTGAGGTGGTAAGTCCAGAGTTTTCATTCTTCATGTTTTTATTATATTAAATTTCAAGTGCCAAAAATATTTGAGACAGGACTCAGATTGAGCTGTCAGTTAAATATTAAGCAATTCTGTTTAAGTACTGGTTCCTCTAGGAACTGAAATAAAATCATTTTTTGATACATATAGAAGTTTCTAGTCATGAAAATTATTAGGCTATTTCAATAAATTTAGTGTGTGGTTAAAATTGATTTGGTGGTCAAGATGATTATTTATCTGTTCCTTACTAAAACCTTATCACATTTATTTAGGTCCAACAGTTTGAATCACTTGCAGGGCTTTTTATGATAAGCTAAGACAAACGTTAAGGAAAATTGGAAATGTTTATCCCTAATTCAATGTAATGTTTATTGTTTTGGACATGAAGACCTTCAAGTCTTTCAGTGTTAAAAATTATGGTGGAGTTGAAGTAACTTTTTTTTTTTTTTTTTGAGACAGAGTCTCGCTCTGTCACCAGGTGCCAGGCTGGAGTGCAGTGGCTCAATCTCGGCTCACTGCAACCTCTGCTTCCCGGGTTCAAGCAATTCTCCTGCCTCAGCCTCCCACTGCAACCTCCGCCTCCCGGGTTCAAGCAATTCTTCTGCCTCAGCCTCCCGGAATAGAAGTAACTTTTAATTTTTTTTTTTTTTTTTTAAAGACAGGCCTTGTTCTGTTATACAGGCTGGAGTAGAGTAGTGCCAGCATAACTTACTGCAGCCTCAAATTCCTGGACTCAAGCAGTCTTCCTACCTCATGTTCCCAAGTAGTTGAGACTATAGGCGCATACCACCCCACCAAGCCTGCTAATATATTCTATTTCTTTAAATGCTTTTTAGGCTGGGCCCGGTGGCTCACACCTATAATCTCAGCACTTTGGGTGGCTGAGGCTGGGCAGATCAGTTGGGGTCAGGAGTTCGAGACCAGCCTGGCCAACATAGCGAAATCCTGTCTCTCTAAAATATACAAAAATTCACCACGCGCCTGTAATCCCAGCTACTCAGGAGGTTGAGGCAGGAGAATCCCTGGAACCTGGGAGGCAGAGGTTGCAGTGAGCCAAGATCATGCGACTGCACTCCAGTTTGGGCAACAAAGCGATACTCTGTCTGAAAAACAAACAAAAACAATAAAACAGTTTTTACTTATTTATTTTAATTTAATTATATTTTTGAGTTGCTGAATCTTAGAACTGGCCATTTTATATAAGTAACATTTTGTAATCACACTTTTAGAAGTTTTCTGTTATTTAAAGTTCTGTTATTTTAGAGGAAAAAAATCTTTTTAATTGAAACTAATAAAATGTTTAAAATGCTGAACATTCTCATTGTTTTGCAAATACTAGTATTATTTAACAATTACAGTTACCATACTTTGTCTTTGAAGAGTTTTCATGTAGCTATTTCATATCAAAATCACTGCAGTGTTGGGTAAATTAATAAAACAGGCATTTTAATATATAATTGCTAAACTGACTTGTAAGTATCTTTCTCTTTCAACTTGACAGAATCAATCTGCATCCCAATGGATTCATCAGTCAAAAATCAAGTGTTTCTTTTTCATAAGACAATGAATGATAAATACATCTAAAGGGGGAAAAACCCTGTAGTTTAAACAAATCCTTACCATGTGATTTTAAGTGTTTCTTTGTTTTCAAAAATTGTGTTGCAGCCTTATGTAAAACTAATTTTAAGGCTGTTCAAGGATTAGTATTTATACTTAAATTCAAATCATTTCTAATCTTTAAAGTTGCTTCACTTGGTTTCATATTATGTTAGCTTTCCATATGTTAAGGAGTCTTTTCCAGTTAAATTGATGTTACTACGTAGGTAAACAAATTAGTAGTAGGCTTAACAGAATTGTAACTTGCCCTGCCTTTAATATTTGGAGTAAATTTTTCATAGGAACATTCTTCATGAGTTGGAAGTTAATATTGCTGAGTACAGCAGTTATAATAATGAATAAGCAACTAGCAAGTCTTTGACTTTATTTTTACTTATTCATTGGCCTGTGTACAGCTTATATTCTCAGAACTGTAACAGAAAGAAACACAAGCCATTGATTTGGAGCTTTGCATCCTTACTGAATTGCAAAGGGAAACTGAGACTCTTAAAGTTCATTTCTTTAATCAAGGTGCTTTTTGATATAATTATCTAAAATGGCTTCGAAATGTTAAAAAATAATGTATTTGTGGTCATCGTGGGGAGATACAGGATGAAACTCCAAGTACCCAATAGATAAGGAACTTTGACTTGCCCTGGTGGCAGCAGCAGAGGTAGGGCACATAACCATCAAATAATAATTAAGGTGTTTGGGACATAAAAAAATCTGGCCAGACACAGTGGCTCACTCCTCAGTAATCCTAGCATTTTGGGAGGCTGAGGTGGGTGGATCACCTGAGGTCAGAAGTTTGAGACCAGCCTGGCTAACATGGTGAAAGCCTATCTCTATGAAAAATACAGAAATTAGCCACATATATTATAAATTGAAAGGGACAAGAAATTAAGAATGATAATTTTTTGCTATCAGGGCTATTTTACCTCTCAAATTCTTGCACAGTAAAGTATAAAAATCCACTTAGCTTGTGTGGTATTTGTGCAGTTATTAAAACAGATATAGTGCTTTTCATAAAGAGTTTTTTTTTTTTTTAAAAAGATAGATATAATAATCAGACTGTCTTTAAGATTTGATACTGACAATGTCTCTTCTCTTGAACTTGTCAGTTTGGTCTGTTTTGATGTACAAATACTTTTCTCCTCTTACTTCATACAGTTGAAAATACAAACTACTATAAAGATGAATCTGCTTTTTTGTTGTGTTTTTTAATTAAGCTGAATTTTAGGTTACTTTATTACGAGGGAACAATGAATAATTTAAATTATAGTTTAAGTAACTAAGTTTAGATTCCTTTATATTTTCAAAAAGAAATAAAGATATACAATAGAATTAATATTCAGAGAATATTTAATTCTATCACTCAAAATATGTAGATAGAACTACAGGTGGCTCATGCCTGTAATCTCAGCACTTTGGGAGGCCAAGGTGGGCGGATCACCTGAGGTCAGGAGTTCAAGACCAACCTGCCAACATGGTGAAACCCTGTCTCTACTAAAAATACAGAAATTAGCCAGGTGTGGTGGTGTGTGCCTGTAATCCCAGCTACTTGGGAGGTTGAGGCAGGAGAATCACTTGAGCCCAGGAGGTGGAGGTTGCTGTGAGCTAGATCACACCACTGCACTCCAGCCTGGGTGACAGAGAGAGACTCTGCCTCAATTAAAAAAAAAAAAGTAGACAATAGAGTAATTTAGTAAGCAGAGTACTGAACTTATCTGATAATCAAATCGGACTCTGGATCTTTGCTTGCCCTGTGAATTTTGTCTAGGCACAAAATGACTATGACAATTTTCAGTACCTTTGAAAGGAGGGCTGTGAACCAAATGAGCCCTGGAGTCCTAGCTGTAAAATTATATGAGGTATAATGATAAATTAGCTAAGGGGAATAAATGATATAGGTAGACTTTTTCCATTACTACTGCTTTATTTATTTACTTACTTACTTTTGAGACAGAGTCTTGCTCTGTTGCCCAGGCTAGAATGCAGTGGTGCAATCCCAGCTCACTGCAACCTCCACCTCCTGGGTTCAAGTGATTCTCCTGCCTCAGTTTCTCAAGTAGCTGGGACTACAGGTACCCACCACCATGCCTGGTTGATTTTTATATTTTTAGCAGAGATGGGATTTCACCATTGCTGGCCAGACTGGTCTCGAATTCCTGACCTTAAGTGATCTGCCCACCTCGGCCTCCCAAAAGAACTGGGAATATAGGTGTGGGCCACAGCGCCTGGCCACTCCTTTTTTATACAAAAGTTCTGCAGCATACTGTGTTATTATTTATTAAGTTGAAGTTCTAAGGACACGTGAAGTTTCCTATTGTGGAATAGGTTCAGGATTGACCTGTGTCATGAAGAATGGTAACTGGGCCTGCAGAAAGGAGACATCTTCAGAGCATTGGAGCAGGAAGTGCAAAGTGAAGTCGTTTTTTGCATCTAGTTAAAAAGGATCTGCAGATTTATTTATTTAAAGATTGTCAAGAACAGAGCTGGTTAATTATGTGGCATATTTATGAAAGAGCTGCTTGGGACAACAGATAGTGAGAAATGGATGAAATCTTATCAGGATTTTTTTTTTTTTTTGAGACGGAGTATCGCTCTTGTTGCCCAGGCTGGAGTACAGCAGCATGATCTCAACTCACTGCAACCTCCACCTCCAGGTTCAAGCGATTCTCCTGCCTTAGCCTCCTGAGTAGGTGGGGTTATAATACACGTGTGCCACCATGCCTGGGTAATTTTTGTATTTTTAGTAGAGACAGGGTTTCACCATGTTGGCCAGGCTAGTCTCAAAATCCTGACCTCAAATCCACCCACCTCAGCCTCCAAAAATGCTGAGATTACAGGTGTGAGCCACCATGCCTGGCCTTTTTCAGGATTTTGGTCTGTCTGTGGTCCTATCTACATAGTGTAGAATTTGTTTAATAAAATAATTTTCAGTAATCAAGCACAAAACTCCAGGTAGATTTGAGAGATAGTTCCAAAAATTATGAATTTGATTTTTTTGGTATGTATCTATCAAGAGCTTGCTAATGCATGTCCATTTGAAATAATTTAAATTGAGTGTGAATGAATGATAAATGACTTAAGAATTTGCATTACTGAGCCATTTCATATACTGGTGGAAGAATACCCTGTGTGGTAAATACACAGGTCTGGGTGACTAGAGTTGAGAATGTAATTAAGCACTCCCATCTCTAATTCTTTTTTCTGTTTTGAATCTTGCATTTGTTGATTTTAACCATTCTTCCACCCTACTTACTATGTTGTCAATTTGCCTTTTCTTCCCCTTTCCTCTTTAAATGCTAATTAACTACTTTTCTTCGTTGTATAGTAGTTCATTTATATATATACATTTTATATCCCTCATTCCTATGTAAGTCTTTGAGGATATGAAGCATGTCTTATTTATATTTTTGTATATGCCCCAGTTAGGGTTCCCAGATAAAGTACAGCATGCTCAATTAAGTTTGTATTTCTGATAAACAGGGAATAATTTTTTTTTTTTTTTTTTTTTTGAGACAGAGTCTCACTCTGTCGCCCAGGCTGGACTGCAGTGGCCCAGTCTTGGCTCACTGCAACCTCTGCCGCCCTGGTTCAAGCGATTCTCCTGTCTCAGCCTCCTGAGTAGCTGGGATTACAGGCATGTGCCACCACACGCAACTAATTTTTATATTTTTAGTAGAGACGGGGTTTCACCGCTTTGGCCAGACTGGACTCAAATTTCTGACCTCAAGTGATCCACCCACCTCAGCCTCCCAAAGTGCTGGGATTGCCACCACCGTACCTGGCCTAATTTTTTATTATTCTGTACTGTATATTTATTTGCTAAACTTGGCAGCCCTTGCCATGTGCATTGCACAGTAGGTGCTTAGTTCAGTGAATGAATCAAAATTGGGTTCTGTTTTAGTCCTGTGACTTTGGCAGAGTACTTTTATTCTTAGTTTTGCAAGTGGAAAAAAAATCTGAGGTTAATGGGCTCTAAATCTTTCCCTAAATTTACCTAGTTAACTAAATTGCTCAGCCTGGCCCAGGAGACATACATACACTTCTGACTCCCAACCAAACTAGTGCGTCTTTACTTAGTTTTTTCTAAGTTTTGAATTGAAGAACTTAGATTCTAAGGATTTCTTCTAAAGGATGATTATTTTTCTTGTCCCTACCCTAGAATCTCCATATTTTATATATTACACACACACACACACACACACACACACACACACACACACACACACGATCTCGTTAGACTACTAACTCTAAAAACTATTTGGGGCGGGGCGCGGTGGCTCACGCCTGTAATCTCAGCACTTTGGGAGGCTAAGGTGGGCGGATCACCAGGTCAGGAGTTTGTAGACTAGCCTGGCCAACATAGTGAAACCCCGTCTTTACTAAAAAAATACAAAAGTTAGCTGGGCATGGTGGTGGGTGCCTGTAATTCCAGCTACTCAAGTGGCTGAGGCAGGAGAATCGCTTCAACCGGGAGGCAGAGGTTGCAGTGAGCAGAGATCGCGCCACTGCACTCCAGCCTGGGCGACAGTGTGAGGCTCCGTCTCAAAAAAAATTATCTGAGGCAAAACAAAAGAAGTTTCTTAATTATGTCGTAAGGGAAATAAGCATAAAAATCTTTCGATTTCCTTCTTTATACAATGGAGGGAGACAATATTAGAATACTGAAAATAAAATCTGTGGGTTACTGAGGCTTTGTGGACACTGAGAGAGAACAGTACTAGAATAATTTGCCTTTCATGCGTTCAGATATCTTGGACCTTTAAATTGATAAAAGATTCACTTTGCAGGGAGAATCTGCTTAGTATTAGAGATTCTGTAAAATTTGTAGCTTAAATAGATGATTTCTATGCTTTTGATAATTCTCTTTTCTTTCCCACCTTCAAGGTTGAATGCATGTTGCATATCCATGTATAGTTAGTGGTTAACTGTTATTAATTTGAATGATATATAATTTGCAGTGAAAGTAGGAAGAGAAAGAGGTAAAACCATGAAATTAATGAAATAGCATTTCTTAACTATTTTACATTGTATTATCTAATATGTTTTTCCAAGCCAGGATTCATATTTTTTTCAGTATCTCTGATAGTTATTTTTACTTTTTACTGAATATCACCTTTCATGTGAGCCTATTAATTTTTTAGAAATTAAGAAACTATAATTTTTAAAATTTCAACATGTTAATTTCACGACACTATTCTCTCGTCACAGTCTCAGAACTGTGACTTTAGTGTCATCTGTATTGTGAAATACTCATTTAAAAAATTAATTTTTTTTTTTTTGAGGTGAAGTCTTGTTCTGTCACCCAGGCTGGAGTGCAGTGGCACGAAATAGGCTCACTGCAAACTCTGCCTGCTGTGTTCAAGCAATTCTTCTGCCTCAGCCTCCCCAAGTAGCTGGGACTACAGGCACATGCCACCATGTATGGCTAATTTTTTGTATTTTTAGTAGAGACGGGTTTCACCATTCTGACCAGGCTAGTCTCGAACTCCTGACCTCATAATCCACCTGCCTTAGCATCCTAAAGTGTTGGGAGTACAGGTGTGAGCCACCACTTCTGGCATTAATTTTTATTCTCTTTAAGAATTAGAATTCTCAGTCTTTTGAGGTGAATTTGCCCTTGTGGAAATGTTGTATTCCTATTTTTAGTCAGAGTAATTTTTCTATATTATACAATATAAAATGTGAAAGCCTGGAATTTGAGAAATAAAAATGTATGCCTTAGAAACAAAATAGCTTCCTTTATTCTTCACCTACTAAAATTTGAGAAGTTTTAAAGTAAACCCCCCCCCTTTTTTTTTAAATGACGGAGTTTCCCTCTGTCTCCCAGGCTGGAGTACAGTGGTGCAATATCGGCCCATTGCAACCTCAGCCTCCCAGGTTCAAGCGATTCTCCTGCCTCAGTCTCCTGAGTAGCTAGGATTACAGGCTACCACACCTGGCTAGTTTTTGTATTTTTAGTAGAGACAGGGTTTCACCATATTGACTAGGCTGGTCTCGAACTCCTGACCTTGTGATCTGCCTGCTTCAGCCTCCCAAAATGCTGGGATTACAGGTGTGAGCCACCATGCCTGGCCATGAATCCCTTTTCTTAACATTCAGAGAATATATATATGTTAAAGAATCCTGGTGATAATGGAATGGAAGGGGGTATCTGGGCATGATGCTCCTGCTTGCCTTAATACATAGA